AGCTACTGGGTAATAAAACAAAATGTATTTTTTACATTTTAAATAATTTAGTACATTTTGTAGAGAGCAATCTTAGGTTTTCGTAGAATTTACGAAATTCTATAAATTTTTGTGATTCTTGTACGGAATTTAAAATAGAGTTCAGTGTTCATCAGTAGGTTCACACTATAACATAACTTTCAAAAAATAATTTTTACATTATTCAGATACTAGCCTCTGCCAGCAGCTTCGCCCGCATTACTGTAGAATAAAGAGTAGCCTATGTGTTATACTAGACTATTAACTACCTCTGTTCCAAATTTCATCCCTATCACTTCAGCCGTTTTGACATGAAAGAGCAACAAACAAACAAACAAAAAAACAAACAAACTTTCACATTTATAATATAAGTCGGATGTGCAACTCTAGATACTTTTCCAATCATAAAAATCATACAGGACCCAACGCGAATGAATTATAATATACAATTCCTTCGTCTAACCTTCTTTTTAAGAAAAAAACTTAATGCAATGCTTCTGTCACCGTCAACCACTATCTGAATCATGTCAAAAATAAAATGACATGTAAAAAATTTTGCTACCATCATAAAGATAACTTTGAGTTCTTAGATAACTTTGTCTCTGAACCGCAGTTAAAAGTTTAACTGACTACTGGAGACGGATCATGATTGCACACTGTTTTTATTTAATTATATTTATCTTGAGTTATAAAGTTTAGTGAGCTGATTAATTATTTTCTTGCAGTTGTAATGGGTACCGGGTAAGTTTGGGTAACTATGACCCGCTGGGGTAACTTTGATCCAGATCACTTCATTAGTCCAAAAGTTTTTATAATAACTATCGTGAGACATACTTAAGTAACTAAAATCGCGGGTTACTCACGTGAATATACCTACTCAGAACAGCTCTATTAGGTTCGAATCACAGAGGGGTTTTTCCTCGTGACTTCATAAGTGTAATACCGTGCGCGGTCGCAGCTACGCGTACTAGTGGTTTTAATTAATCTAAAAGTTAGGCTCAAATTAGCCTGTTAGGTAAAAAAATCCCGATTTTACGGTATATGTTTACCTACGTATGCATATTTATTGTTTCGCTGACATAAAAGGTTTTTTTAAATTCATCAACTAAAATATAAAACGCATTCGCGAGTGTCGATTTAAAAATTCAAAATCAATCCGTTACCCGATTCCAAATTCTATTACAAAAAATCTTTTATGCATGAAAAGAAAAACATAGGCGGAATCGTGTGAAAACCGACACTCGGGTTTTTCACGGTCGGGTCTCTCGGGCCCCCTGTGGCGTTGGGAGGGTTAATTCATTTGTCGCAACGACATCCTGAGGGTTGAATCGTTCCACAGTCCACTTGATTTCCCATCATTGTTTCTTATTTTGCATAATTTAAAAGAAAAAGCTTATTGTGTTGTTTTGTTTCGAAATCGTTTCTTTATTTTGTTTTTGAAGTTAACTCAGTTGAAAGGGAAAGGTACCTAACCCTTATTTTATATCTTAGAGAACTTTTAGAGGTTTTTAACGTTGTCAAAAAGAAAATTCCTCTTTTAAATGAAAATTTATTTCAGTGTTTTTTTTTATACCACGACGGTGGCAAATAAGCACACGGCCCACCTGATGGTAAGCGGTTACCGTGGCCTATGTACGGTTGCAACACTTGGGGCATTACATGCGTCTTGCCGACACTTAAGACACCTATTCACTTCCCTGTGTATCTAGTTTAGAGTACGATCATTACTTAGTAAGCAAATATGGATGTAGTACATTGACCCTTCCCAAATTATTGATAAACTATCAACCATTCTATACAAGAACTAATATCAACACTTAACTTTACAACTTAAAAAAACAGTCAACAAATAAATTAAATATATTATTATGTTTTCGGCTTACTCACGTAATTATTTGACGAGGAACTCGACTAGTTTCAAGCCATACTAGAGGCTCATATTCATGAGCAGCATTTCGCGACCCACGACGCGGCTACTGTCACGCTGCTACTGAATTCACAGATACAGTTCCTCGTCAAATAATTACGTGAGTAAGCCGAAAACATAATAATATATTTAGGGTTGTAATAAAAGCTCTGACAAGAAAAGAAGAATTGTCCTTACTGAAAATATTAAATCTACTGCCTAAAATACTAACTTTCGACTACTTTACATGACTGTTTATTGCTACAATACTAACCTAACCTAAAACGTCTGTTGTCGGTAACTTAGTAATTTTGTCGGAGGTTCAATATTCTATTCGGAAGTTTAGTTTTGTTATTCGAAGATCCATTTTTATAGTCGGCCACAGATCGCTGGAGATTAATTTGTTTTTCGGAACCATTATTATTTTCCATATATTTAGTATGTCTCACGAAAGTTATAATACAAATAAATTAAACGCAATATTATCCCGAAATAAATACCTCATCAAAAGAAAAGATGTATTGTGGTTTATTAAAACGTAGGTAACTTAATCTCAAATTGATAACAGAATCGTAATAAAGAAAGAAAACAGTAGATAAGTAATTATTTTGTAATCCCTTTTCCATTAAAAAACAATCAGATGGTTTTTACCTTTGTAAATAAGGCCTCCTACGCGATTCCTTGTTTTATTAATTTGATGAACAACTTTTGTACTAACATAACATCACGCCTTTTTATCCCCGAAGGGGTAGGCAGAGGTGCACATTTTGACACTTAATGCCACTGTACAATGTAACACCCACTTTTCACTATTTATGTTATGAGTCCCATGTAATAGGGGGTGAGCCTATTGCCATATACCGGGCACATTTCCAGACTCCGTGCTACCACTGAGATTTTTAAAAACCCAGTAATAACTTTTGTACTAAAGGCACTTTAGTCTTAGAATAGCCATGATCAAACGCCTGTCTCCCATGGGGATTTTTTTTAAGGGTGGAAAATCATCGAATGACTGCTCCCGCCTGGGTGAGGCGGGAGGGAGTGTCAGACTCTTACTGACTAAAAACCACACCGTTCCTTCTCCTGCACGTCGAGCCGGAGCCCCGGTTACCCGTTAGGTTCTCCGCGACCTCCAATGGGGATAGGCAGAGACTTTATAACTCTATACTTTTAAGTCAACTTTATTCCATATAAAGGCAAAAATCTTATTGATACCATAAACGTTAACTAATGGTGTTAATCAAAGATGGCCGATTTAAAACGAAGCACTCCTAACACATTAACAACAACAAGTAACTCTCAATTCCCTCCTAAGACAACACAATCGTGGACTCTCATTATTATTCAATTAAACATTCATTTTGTTTATCAGGGGGCACTGTGTGAAAGTTAACACTGGCGCTGGTTATTTGCGCTGTGGGCTTTATAGACCCACGGTGGCGCGCGTGGGGTTAACCCTGTCCGTGAAATAAAAAAACAAGTGAGGCGTTTTTGAGTAAGTTCTTTTGGAGATGTCACTGAGGCTAATATTACAACATTTAGAACTACACATGTGTTTGTATTTCTAATTTTTTTTGCAATTGCAATAGATATATAGATGAAAAAACATTACAGTTAAAATAAAAAATTCAAGTGTATTTGACTTATTAGGTCGTCTACTCGTTTATGTCGAGAAGTATCTTAGGAATCAATTCAATGAGTTTTTCATACCTTCACTACATAAGTATTATAAAACAAAGTCGCTATCCGCCGTCTGTCTGTCCCTATGTATGCTTACATCTTTATAACTACGCAACGGATTTTGATGCGGTTTTTTTTAAAAGATAGAGTGATTCTTAAGGAAGGTTTATATGTATAATACATGTATATTGCACCCTCTATCATCGTAGGTACACACGGCTACACATCGAGCTTTACATAACCAGTATAAACTAAACGTTAAATGTGCGGAAAGATGATGCGACGCGATACCAGGATAAACTGGTTTTGTATAGATTGATGTGTGGCCGTGTGTACCACAACACCCACTTACTAAATTCACCATTTAATTTTGACACCAAAAGCATATATCGCGGCACGTGGCGCATAACACTCGAATCTGCCTCAAGGGTAATTGGCAAGCGATACACTTTCAACCCTGCGACGATTTCCTCTCCGGGACATTTCGTACCCCAACCCTGCGGCCGCTAATTGTAAAGTCAACACTGTGTTTGCTCAGAAAACTGTTTTTGGTGATTGTTTGTTTTTTTTTAGCAAGTGCAATTCTAGCATGTGGGGGTGAGATAGGGGGCGTGAAGTGGAAGGTGCGATGTTTTTTTTAACGTCACGTTTTTGTTCATTTTATAAGTTTCGTAAGACAACCTACATTAGTTATTATGTTTTCGGCTTACTCACGTAACTGTTTGACGATGAGCTCGACTAGTTTCAAGCTATACTAGAGGCTAGCATGGCTTGAAACTAAGGACGTGGCGCAAGTAAGCCGAACATAATAACTAAGTTAAGTAGCACGGAGTCTGGAATTGTGCCTGGTATATGGCAATGGGCTCACCCCCTATTACATGGGACTCATAACATAAATAGTGAAAAGTGGGTGTTACATTGTACAGTGGTATAATGTGCACCTCTGCCTACCCCTTCAGGGATAAAAAGCGTGATGTTATGTATTTATAAGTTAAATTGCTGCGCCCTAACAAGGTGATGTACTGTACTAGTAGTGTAATACCGCTATGTATGTACATTTTGCAATAAATAAATAAATAAATAAAAATAAGGCAATATGAATTAGCAACTGGGTATAATTTAAGTGTTATAATATGGTTTCTCTTATGTAATCAAATTAAAATCGTGTTTTAAGTTAATTTACTCATATCCACATTCATTTACATTTTAAATAGGTAATTACATATAAAATAATCAATTAATTCACTAAACAATTAACGATGGCATTGCTACATAAAAGCTAACATGTTTTTTCAATTTTTCTTAAACTACCCCCTCTTTAATTTCACTACTAAATTCACAACTACCGTCATTAAATGTCAAGAAGATAATATATATATTTTTCCTTCATTCCCAGATCAATATGAAAAACCATGGAGCTGGAGTAAGTCCATCTATATTATTTTCATTTCCTTTAGACTCACTTACTACCATAATTATGTAGAAAAATAATATTTTTATTAATTAAATAAAACAGGAATACCCGCGGCTTTGACCACGTACTTATCCCATGGATGCATTTATTCGGGTTAAAAAGTATCCTATAACCTAAGTCAGCTTATACCCTGTCTGTATGCCCAAATTTTAATCAAAATCCGTTCAGTAGATAGCGTGATTGACAGGCAAACATCCAAACAAAGAAACTTTCACATTTTATAATATTAGTGTGATTTATTTCATTCAATTACATAGACCATATTACTAAATACAGAACATAAAAAACATAAAATAATGTACAAGACAAACAATACCAAAGTAATCAATTTAAAAAAGTAAAATATGGTCATAAAGAATAAAGAGTGTGTGCCAAAAATCAGATTGATCTGTGGTCAATGAGTGACAGATATTCCAATTACTAATTTTAACCCACACAAACAAACAGTTTAATTTCACTTTGACTGTTTGTTAAACACAATAAGTCTATTACTTACATGTCAATTTAAATATGACAATAATATTACTAAATAATATATTAAAATAATAATACCCCTAATGGCAAAGACAAGCATGATTTTCTATTATTTTTCCATTTTTATTTCCATAACATACTGTTACAATCTATTAATCATCAAAGTAGGATGCAGAAATAACCTATACATTTATTTTAAGCCCCATTATAAAATAAAGAAATAGTTATATATATTAAAGATAAACCTATTACTGATCTCTAAGCACAATTCCAAACCATGTTATTCCTAAGAATAAAAGTCACACGCCAATAAAAATGGTGGGCAGTCAAACATTTTCTTTTAATTTGAATACAGAAAACGGAAACCTCATTATCTATGGTAGTTGAAGTCGTCAGTCGTAAGTGAGAGGGCGTAGGGAGCGCACGTGTCTGCCACGCGCTCACTTTTATCTGTTTGCACAGCAATTCGCGCTGAATATATTTACGATAAATAATTAAGAGGATGACTCGACACTTGATACTGTAGTCGATTGAAGCAGAAAATGAAATGAAAATAAAACGGTGTATCTAAATTTGAGATTGAAATAAATGTGATGAGAAAATCAATATTCAGAGAAAGAGTGTCTCTACTATGGTAATGTAACCTATACTGCTTAAAAACCTTTAGTACAGGCAGAACATTCAATTTTTGACACTATCTGTCCATATTCAGCAAATATTGAAACAATTGTATTACTATTAACTGAACATACTGGTATTACTTTTAAATAAATCTATTAATCAATAAGCCGTTTTATCCTGAACCTTAATTGTTGTGGAAGATAATTGTGTTTCCCTTGTTTAGAGAATATCTCTAAGTTCAGTGTGCTTTTTGACAAAGGCCTAACAAACAAAACTAACCATAACAATATATAACATAATCTAACCTAAGTTATCTAAAAATCGCGGGTTACTCACGTGAATATACTCACTCGGTACTTGACACACGCAGCTCATGAAGAAGAGCATACATATAGCTTGCTTATGGGACTACGTGCTCCACCGTAGACCGCATCATCGCTTACCACCAGGCGAGATAGTCAAACGGCGGCCCATCCTTACTAATATTGTAAATCTGAAAGTGAGTTTGTTTGTTTGTTTGTTCCACCTTCACGCCGTAACTACTCAACCGATTGCTTTGAATTTTTGCAGACGTGAAGTTAGAAGTCCGGATTAAATAATAGGGTACTTTTTAACCCGGATAAAATTGATATTTCCGAGGAAAAACAAAAGTAATGGTATAGATGGCGCTGTGTGCATTGGTATATGTCACATAAGCTACTTTTGTGACGCGAGCGAAGCCGCGGGTAAAAGCTAGTGAAATATAAAAAAGAGCCCCTTTGTAGCTCGAAACTAGTAGAGCTTTTCTCAGTATATTCACGTGAGTAACCCGCGATTTTTAGTTAATTTAGTATGTCTCACGATAGTTATAGAAACACAACTTACTTCCAAAACTAATTCATTTTGAACCACTCAAAACAAATTAACCGTTCCACTAGCTCCTCAAAATATAACCGTCCCCTAACATTACATGCTCAGTCATTAAAGAAATAAATTGTAACCGAGAATCGAAACCCCGTCCTTATCTCGGGAGCCCACTCGGAACTTGTTTATCGTGGCGTTTCACGATAAGTTAATCCTCTATGCTAGAGTGGGACAGGTATATCGAATCTCCTTGTCTTATAATCTTGGATAGAGTAATTTTTTCTTTGGAATGAAAACCTCATTGGTGGAGTGACTGCAAGTTCTATTGGCCAACGTGGTAACTTGTGTTCAGTTTTGGAACACCATGTTATAACGGGTTTAATATTATTATTCCCAGTCAATAACGTTGAAAAACAAGCCAACATAATGTCACTTAGAAAACATAGGAGCACCAAAATATTAGTGATGTATTTATGTGTGCGTGTGTAATGAGTTACCACGTACCAGACTTAAGAAAATGACAGATGTCCTTTGTGTCAATGTGTGTGTATTCTGCGTGTAAGTCTATAGTAGCCAGGCGCCACAGTCGTTGTTTTAAGAGACTGTATCTTTTTTAACGTCCATTTGTTCTCAGTGCTATCACTGTGTTGATTATAGTAACCTGTTTGGTAGATTTATCTTCTGCATTAGGGAATTGAACTGACGACAATTAGGTCAAGGTATCAAATTTTAAAAGTAACTTAGTTTCAAGTCTCTCTACCTATCCCTTCTACAGCTACAAGGAAGTTTACTACCACACAATGTCCCTTCCTAATTTAATATCTTGAATGCATTGACAAAATTATTGGCCTCCCATACATTTATAACATTATTTAAGGAAGGCCTATTCAGCCTATAACAAATAACTAATAATTTATAAGATATATTTCAATTCGGTTAGCACACCCCTACTGTAGGGCTGCCACATTATCATGGTAATAAAATAACTCATTGCATACTGTCAACATTAACACCAACCTTTCGCTCTTAACACCCAAGTCTTAAGGTACAAAATTGCATACTCGCGATGCCCTATTTTCCCTTAGTGGTAATCTATCACAACTTGTCATGTTTCGCACCCCTGCGGCAGTGTTGCCAGCGCAATTTATGTGTTAACATGATTTATAGGCTGGCAACCCTCGTTTCAGTGGGTGTTGCTAGTTGCTACCTATTTTATTATGTAGGGAATTATTATATACTCAGTACCTATATAACTCAACGATTTTCTTTTAATGTCATCGATATTTTGATTCAGTATCCTTAACGAGGAACGTGGTTTTAAACGTGAAATGGATTTTCTTTTTTCATTCCAGGGTTTTATGTTGAAACAAAGTCAAAGTCAAAATCATTTATTTCAGGTAGACCACGATGGCACTTTTGAACGTCAAAACATATTAATAACTACCTAATTATTAAAAAATGTTTGTCGGTCAGTTCTTTAATAGAGCTTTTTGCTCTTTTCGCTTCATCTGTTATATAAAAGAACAAAAACCAATGAACACTAACTAGCAAAAGCTAATGTAATAAAATAAACCTGTAGATACCTAAATTAAATCTTGACAAAACAACTCGATTAAATTCAACCAATCAATCAATATAGCATCGTCTAATGAAATCACAATTTCGTGAACACATCTCAAAATCATTGAATCAAATCACGCTACATCTAATCGAATAGGATGTTTAGCAAGTTACCCTCCATCTCCATTCTACAACACCATTCTTCTAAAATAACAATCCCGTTTAAATCCGAACGCGCCCATTAAATTCCCCCCTTCGAAATGTCAAAGTGACAGTTGACGGACCCGCCATTTTGAAACTTCGAAATGTCGCTTTCATGTTTCTTGTTTTGTTATTTTTAATTAATTATTTTTGTGTTAATCCTTGCTCTGTGTTGGTAACTTAATAAATTAATAGTTAATTTATATTTTAAAATGCTTCTTTGAATTATTACTGGCATAGAATACCTACGGTTGGGTTTTTTAAACGAAAGCAAAAACTCGGCTTTTCTTTGAAATAAAGTGCCAACCTACATCCTATAAAATTAATTGCAACATAATTATTTATTTATAGGACAGCTTAATGCTTGTTTTATATCTGAAAATTAATAAATAATTTCATTCCTTCGAACATTTCACAATTCGACACATTCAATTATTTTTCCAAATTCTATAAATTAAATTAAATAACTACAAAAGACGTAGATTAAAATGTTTCTAATTCAATTCAACAATAGCCATTGCAACCGTGGCCAGTAGTCAACCCTAGAAAAATGCAAATCGAAATCAATCTAAAACAGCTCCTATTCTATTGATAACAAAGATGACATTTTATAATCCCTTGCAGCTGTGTGCCCTTAAAAGTATTTTACACGTCATTAGGGGTCCCCAAACTCCGGTCTCTCTGGGGGAAACTCCGAGTATAGGGTCAAATGCCGTGAAAAACGGAAAAATAATGCGTTCGTCCCCTCTATGTACTTTACAAATTAGCTCCACGATTTATTTTTGTGTGGTGTGATGTTGGTTGTTGCTTTTATGTAAATAAGAAAGTGGTTTTGACTACAACAAGTCGTGATTAATTTGTTCCGTAAAGAACGCAGTTGAACGCAGTGGAAGAATAAAAAATATTTACCGAATCCTCTATTATATGTAGATAAAGATTACTTGAAGAAATTATCAATAATAACACCGAAACTGTGCCTAATATCACCAACATGTTTTCTAGATTTATGATAGAAATTAGTGGGCATAGATACAAAAGTATTGTCAAAAAAAGTTATGCTAAAGCTGAATTTCACTTTGAAATTAACGCACATAATAAACAGTTATATAAAGAAACTAAAACCACTATTTATCTAAACAAATCACCCAAAGTCCACAAAAATATGATGCTTAAAAAAAATCCTCGCTATAACCAAAAACATTCCAGAAACATGACCTTACAAAACGTTCTGATTATCGTACTGATCTATAAGGCTTAGAAATTGGAGCGCAAACATGACTCTACCATTAGGGACTCGGTAGCAATCTGAATTGAAATCTGTCCAAATCCATCGATAAGATCCGTTATAGAAAAAAAAACGTAGAAACATGATTTTCGAAGAATTAAGCTTTTGTTTCTGTTTTTTCTTTCATAATAGACAGACTTATTATTACTTAAATCGTGTTTTAATGGAGAAAACTAGTGTTTCGTTTGACACACTCAAAAGTGTGTGTAATAGATCTAATGTTTAATCTGGAAATGGCAGAATATTCTATATTAACCTTCTCAATATTGACCATAACAAAAATAAATACAAATCACAAATTCACCTATAGACACACAAAGAAAAATCAATATCGGCAAATTGTAACCTATTTCGCGTAACCCATTTAACGGATCACAAAGAGAAAGAGGACAAACATACGTGCCCCATATTCATTACAATAAAAGCTATAACATACGACAAAATATCAACACCATGTGCATACCCAAAGGAACTACGGAACCCTACAAACCTCGACAGTCGCCATGTCACTAGGATTAGCGATCATGCCATTGTCAAATGACAATTGAAATCTATCCATCTTTCTCCAACATACCCCAATTTCACGTGAATGAAAGAGACAAACATATGAATTCATTTTCACTTTTCAACATGTGACAGTATGAATGTTTGTTTGGATATTCACAATGGGGTATCGCGAGCGCGTCCAAAATGGATATTGTATTATTTTTATATTTTTAATCCGTCACAGAGAGCGCTAATATCAGTTTTCGTTGAATTGTTATAGTAGATCGAATTGTTTGTGAAATATATTTTAATGCGATGCTGTTTTTGATATTTTGACACTTTTTACTGTTGTATTTCTGTATTTTTGGGAATCGATTTCAATTATAGTGAACCTCTGTTTAGTAGGTCGGGATAGACATTCAATACCTTAACAAATGTTTTATTTATTCACTGATTGATGAGGCAAATGACTTAATATGTTATTTGACGCTGATTTTATTGAATAATAAGTCCTGAACTCCTGAGTAGGTAGATACATGCTCCTGTATGCGGCTGCATAATCTGTGGAATAATAATAATAACAAAACCTTACCCACGGTTACAAAAAGATGCATGATATAGTAAATGAATTAACCATCTATTTATTTAACCCATCGACAACACTACAACGAAAGCGTCTAACATCTTAATCCCAAAAAAGACATTCCATAACCAAAAATAAAGAATTATTTCTCTATGTCTCTAGTTGTCTATGGGAAACAAAAGCGTCGAGCGCGCGCTCGCGTCACGCAGTCTGTCTTTGACCATTCACGAGGAAACATGTAGAAAAACATGCGTCAAAGCTATTTATCATTGAAACTTTGTGACTTACTTATGTTAGATGTAATTTGGGCTTGACTGATGGTAGATGGGTTTGTTAATGATTTTTAATTTCTATGGGGATTACAAGGTATTAGTGGAGGTATGACCTGCTTTATTTGTTTGTTTAAAATGACATACAACTTGAGTAATGGCGGATAAATTCCTTTCGTCAGTTGTTTGACATATTTTCCAGTCCATTCTTCATGGATTATTGTTATGAAAGTAACAGGATTTGAAAGTGTTTCGTTGATTTCTATGAGAATATGAATTGGTTGATTATAGTGACAGCTGTCAGTGATATTGAAAATAGTTTTTCGAATTTCTCCTGTTAGTAATTCTAGTCTTTCAATTAGTCATTAAACGCTAAGTATCTAATTATTTTTTATACAGAGACTTTACTGTCTTAGATCGAATCATATCTGACCACATCTCATAAAACGTAATACGGAATACCACACACCTATACATAAACAAATTATTCAGATTTCCAACTTAGACCATTCAATTAATTACTTTTTAAACCATAAAGTTCTAAAGTAGGCATAATATTTTATTGCCTTTGCCATAATTTTAGACACGCCATAAATCGAATGACGTTTGACGTTTTGATTGACTGTCATAATATTAAAGAAAGCGTTATAGAACGTTACCGGTTATATTTTTATTATAATATTGGTACCTACTTACTAATAGACTATAAACTTATTGCTATTTTTTATTTTCAAACTTAGCTTCGTAACTGAACAAGAGAGATTAACGCAAAGCGTAGAATTTGATTAAATTAGTACATAACATAATATAAACATCACGAATTTTATCCCGGAAGAGGTAGGCAGGTGCACATTATGGCACTGTACAATGTAACAACCACTTTTCACTATTTATGTTTATTGTGAGTCCCATGACCATTGATTGCCATGAGCAATCTCACCTCCCATTACATTATCACCGGGCACAATTCCAGACTCCGTGCTACTACTGAGATTTAAAAAAATATAGTGTTGGTAATACTTTGCCGACGACTTTGCGACCACTCGGCAAACGAGGCAGTTAAATTATGATAAAATATAATTATGTTAAATTATACCTCTAATTCAAAAAATATCAACTCTCTCAGAAATCAAGACCATTTTGTCGTATTATGCACCTAAAAAAAGCTATCATCAGTCAGAATATATCCGCTGCAGAACTAAGATCGTCCTTAAGAAAGGGTTAGCAATAATCCATCACACTTGGCCGGTATCATACTACCGACTAGAGGATCGCAGGGGCCATTAAAATTTCAACCAATGCAATAATGCAATGCTCCGAATAAAAGTAGGCACTAGTATGTCACTCTAACCTCCGATCTGGTGACCAGATATAAAAACGCTACGTTCTGACCTGAAAGAAAGGTAAACAAACATATTTTCGCAATTATAACATTAGCAGGGATGAGCAAAAGACGATTTCTTACCCACAAACTAACCATAACACAAATGTAGTATTTTATTTCCATACGAACAGACAGACGGTGGCACTTCCTATATTTACAACTACTAGTATAACTAATGTCATAATTTTAATATTTAATATTCATTAAACGGGAAAAACCAGTGGGAATAGTGATGGGACTAGATAATCGACTAACGAATCGAATAAGCGATTAGTATAATCGATTAATTTAGTGTGGACTCGAGTATCGTTATCATTCAATTAATTCAAGTTGAATGCGTTAGTTATTTATGTTTTTATTAATGATTGTGGAGTTTTATGCCGTTTAATTTTACTTCATGGCTACTGGTTTTTTGATTTTCTAACGCATTTAAACTAGTTATTGGTTGTAGAATTGTATTTATAATTTCTAATCACACTTCTTTACTTAATTATCTTAACAGGTCGGTCAAATGGTTAATTTAGGTACCTATAACTCGCTACATAGGCAATTCGAAGCACTTTGATTATTAGCAGATTAATTATCATTGCGGTCTTTGCAACCAGTTCAATATAAGAGTCAATAAAACTCGCCATTAATAATCTCAATTTAACAACCCACTAACCATTTTACTACAGTTTAGAAACATTTACTAGATACTAATTAAGTTTACGATACGTTTTCTAATCGAATATCTCGTTTTAGTAACTGATCAAGAATAATACTAAAACTGAAGCAAGTAACATCACTACACGAATGAACTAGGAACATAAAATTGTTGTAACCAACTTTAATGACATTTGTATAATGAAATATCATAAAAATAATTTGTTTTGTCGCCTCTGAACGTGTCGTATAACATTAGAGATTTTTAAATTTGTTATAAAATTAATATAAGGTCGTAAAAATAGTAATAAAATTATCGATGTTACTAAACGTGTTAATAAAAACTCGTAATCAGTGTCTGTGCTACTGGGAATATCGAATAAGTCTTTAGTCGAGTAGTGATGAGAACGACTATCGTAAACAAGGCTCTAAGTGTGGTCCTTTGCCTCCTTTGGTCGGGTGAAGTATTGATTAATGTTATTTCTAAATATTTTGGCGAATGAATGAAGGCAGACTGAATCCCTATGACATTTTTATTTATTAATTATTGATTAAAACGTTATAGGCCAATTACATTAATCAAAATAACATAACATACATCACGCCTTTTATCCCTGAAGGAGTAGGCAGAGGTGCACATTACGGCACTTATGCCACTCTACAATGTAACACCCAGTTTTGACTATTTATGTTATGAGTCCCATGGGTGAGCTTATTACCATATACCGGGCACAATTCCAGACTCCGTGCTACCATTGAAAATACCGGTCGAGCCGGCCCATTCGTGCCGAAGCATGGCTCTCCCACACTTGTACTTTTCACTATTTATGTTATGAGTCACATGTAATAGGGGGTGAGTCTATTGCCTATATCTAAATACCTATATCTCAGAATCTAATCACAATTTACTCTTTGTCCGCAGGTGTTAATCCTAGAAAACAAAGGAGAGAGAGGACAACGTTCACTCGTGCGCAGCTAGACGTGTTAGAAGCTTTATTTGGAAAAACAAGGTACCCTGACATCTTCATGAGGGAAGAAGTCGCGCTGAAGATCAATCTACCTGAGAGTAGAGTGCAGGTAAGAAGTCTATTTTATCCTCTCGAGCGTCCTTATGAGCACCCGGTGGATCGTAAGAAAAAATGCTCCATGCTGTTTTCTCTTTTATAAAATCTATTATTAATGTTTTGTTTTTATTTTGACTGTATTTTTTATATCTATTGTAATGATCCTTGTTTTCGTGTAAATGCATTTTCTTTCTTTCTTTCTCCAAATATCACGTGTGCACCCGTTGGATCATAAGGAACGCGGACGCTCGACGGATTAATAAGGAAAATAATAATGGTTCCGAAAAACAAATTAATCTCCAGCGATCTGTGGCCGACTATAAAAATGAATCTTCGATTAACAAAACTAAACTTCCGAATAGAATATTGAACCTCCGACAAAATTACTAAGTTACCGACAACAGACGTTTTAGGTTAGGTTAGTATTGTAGCAATAAACAGTCATGTAAAGTTGTCGGAAAGTTAGTATTTTAGGCAGTAGATTTAATATTTTCAGTAAGGACAATTCTTAATTTCCTGTCGGAGCTTTATTTTCAAAGCTTTCTTCTTCAAGATTCTTTCAAATCGACTTTAGTCCAATTTTGATTCTGATACTTAACAGTATCCCAATGTTTTGTACACATGCATTCATATCTACACACATCTTTAAGCCATGCACCTCGCTCACCAAAAACTTACGCATAATCATAACCTAGTTAATACAGTATAAAACAACCATCGCCCTTATCCAGCTAGCGGAGAAAATCCGTAGATTATTAAATTTCAATTAAGTCGAGATAGCGCATCTAATAGATGAATAATAATCCATCATAACGCGACTATGTGCCACCCAAAACGCTATTAAAAAATAAAGTTATTAAAATCTTCAACAGACCCACACCGGTTCAATACCAACGCTCGACTGATTTCTAATTCGTTCAAACGTCCAATTTATACCAACACGAATAGAGCATTAGCGCTACCAATCGAATTACGTTCTGATTTTGAAATTTGAAAATCGAATTATTCGATTGTTTTGCGTCGACGCTGTCTGAGTTGTTAAGTACTTATAAAGCTTTTAAGGAATCCGTTATAAACATGGCGGTAAAACGTTTTTTAAAAATGGAATGCATTTTTAACTGGGATGTCAATTTCGAAAAGTTACAATGTGTTAAAAAATTAAACATTCTTGTTTATAACGGTTTTCTACAGAGAGGAACTTACGGGAGAAGGAAATATAAGAAAATATTCTATAGTAACATACCATGACATCACGCCTTTTATCCCCGAAAGGGTATGCAGAGGTGCACATTATGCCACTTCCACTCTACAATGTAACATGCACTTTACACAATTTATTTATTCATTTTAGAAAATGTTCATATACAACACCACAGCTTACGCCATTAAGTTATACTGTTAATCTTATATAAATGATATTATTTAGGTACTTAAAAACAAACTAATTAGGTAATCAAATACAATAAATAAAAATTAATACAATTCAGAAACAAAATTACAAAAAAACAAAAAATAACTATACACACTTTATGTTATGAGTCCCGTGTAATAAGTAGGGGGTGAGCCTATTGCCGTATAACGGGCATAATTCCAGACTCCATGCTACACCTGAGATTTTTTTAAAACCCAGTAAAACTTTGCCCGACCCGGGAATCGAATCAGAGACCCCTTGACCGGCAGTCACACTTGCGACCACTCGGACAACGAGGCAGTCAATATTCTATAGTGACACATATATTTCCTTTTTTTAGTATCTAACTATACTAATAATGATCTCAAAAACCTTAAATTACTATCTTAATATCGTCGATCAAGACAACAAAATACAATGCTCTATTTTTTAATAAATCTATTCGCAATTTAAAACCCCTACTAGAAGTTCTCACCAATTAGTCGTTGCATAAACAGCAAAGCTTGTCCATTTGACGGTTGCGATCTGATAAAATAACTTCAAACACATTATAATTGGACCGTTTAGATGTCACTATCTGATCTGTGTAATGATGTTAGGGGACACAATCACTTTATCTTGTATTGTCAGGGTACAATTTATAGGTTTTTACTAGGATAACATACATACATACATAACTTTACGCCTGTCTCCCATAGGGGTAGGCAGAGACTAAGGAACGCCAATTACTACGATTCTTGCATACCTCTTTCGCTTCATTAACAGTCATCAATCGTTTCATGCATGCTCGTCGGTTAAGGGTACTTTTAATTTTGCCCTTCTTTAATATATCGCCAATCTGGTCGGTATATGTCCGTCTAGGGCGCCCTCTACCGACGGCCCCATTCATATTCGCTCTGTATACTTCTTTCGTTACTCTACTTTCATCCATCCTTTCTACATGTCCAAACCAGCGTAACATTCCCTTTTCAATCCTTGTCACGATAAGTCTCATAATTTTATATGTTTTGGAGTATTTTGAATCTTAAACAGTTTGTTTTTCTTACTCAAATCTTTTTATTTTGTTTATAACATAATATTTACAATATTAACATTGCTTTGCCATTAATATTACTGTCGTTCAATCAACAGTTCACAAAGTGGACCTGCTTAAATGTGCCCTGTTAATACATAGGCTTAACAATCACCCCCCATAAAGTACACCCGCCCACTAAAACTTACCACACGTTACTATAACATAAAAATAAATTAAGAAGAATAATTAGTTAACCATCTGTCGAGTTACATTTAGATCTTTCTATAAAAAAACTACATCAAAATGAGGGTGAGGTAAGCTCAGTTGTTTATGGTGAAGCACGTAGCGACCTCTGGCGAAAACAATGAGTACCTTCCGTTGACGCTACTGTTATAAATAGACGTCATAACGTAATGAAAATAAATTAGATTGTGGTGAAAAAACTACTTATTGCTATAATTTATGAAATAACTCTGTGGTAGTTGAATCCAATTATGAAAGCATATAACAGTCCGCGTACAATGTTTATGACCTGATCGAGAAAAATTGAAGGCTTTGTCTATGCAACTGAAAACGCACTTATACCTTCATTAACGCGTTACATACAACATGTCGATTTACAAACAATCATAAAAATATACAATAAAGAAATGCACTACAAAAAACCTAGGATTTGCTAAAAATACCGCTGAAAACTGAATCACAAACATCCAGTTTCACACAAAAGAAATTGCAAGCGAAAGCCATAAATATTATAATACAAAAAATAACCTAGAAAAAAATTAATCAGCCCTACCATTTGCCTTTCGCCACATACTCACGTGTACGCGTAATAAATCACTTACATAATCCGCTACGCAAACTGAACTAGAACGCGTCGAGTAATTGCTTCGAACGAATGCAACGAACAAATAGTAGGAGCTTGTTACTGGTGGCTTGTAATTGTGATATGTTTAATATGTTTAGCGATATTAGGGTTGGCACTCAGTGTTTGTTTAGTTTGTTATAGAGAAAACTGATAGGAACCAGAGAGGTTTCCACCACTGGAGATTCAATAAAAGTTACTTTAAAAATGAAATTACGAAATCTTGATTTTTGACTAACAAAGCTTCTTGTCAACAGGTTTGGTTCAAGAACCGAAGAGCAAAATGTCGACAACAGCTGCAGCAGCAGACGAACACACAGATATCCAGTAAATCCACGTCCAGCTCCAAGTCATCAGTAGCCAACAGCAGCATCAAGACTTCCACAAGCTCCACAAAGATAACCACTTCTAAATCCCTCACCAGCTCCTCAAACGTAGCTACTACACAGAATTCTAGTATCACCACATCTTCTCCCAACCTTCCTATTACTCCTACGACTTCTGTCAGTCCCCCTATAAACGTTATCTGCAAGAAGGAGTCAGCAGGATCGAACTATGAAAGTTCCCCGCTGAACAAAAATAATAGTTTAACTTCTTTATCCCACTACAATTCCAATGAGCTGAGAATAAGTGGTGGCAAGGAATCTTCCCCTTCAGAACCGGTGTCCAACATCCACGGTTATGGAGTCACTCCTAAGCAGGAGTTGTACAGCAGTCCGAAGAGATTGGACTATTCCAGCAAGTTGGACTACACAGAAAAGTTCGGGAGTAATTTGGTAAAAGACCAGTATAGCTCCCGATTGACGGGTAATCTTACTCCTTTGGGGTCCAATTCCTCAATCATGACCACTCCGTCTCCTCCTATTACTCCTCAGAGTATAAACGGACCAGGGAACGTGTACCACCCGGATAGTTACAACAGCTTCCATTGGCCGGGCAGTTCCGACTACATCAGGAGTTACTCGACGTCACACCATCACCAAGGCTACGGGCAGAGCGCGTACAATTCGCCATATTATCCTAGTCAGGTGAGCAACGAGTTTAATTATTTTTAACTTATGTACCTAAATTCATAGATGAAGTCCTTAAAGCTTTCAAATAGGTATGTAGTTCATATGAAATGTTCTGTATGAAATTAACTTAACGGACTATAGGTAGTAACTGTTACATTACTGTCTAAACGTGTTTCATCAAAACGATTGCAAAATAATTTTAAGGTTTATTAGTGATAGAAATATTAATGGCAAATGCTAAACAGGTAACAAACTTAGTATACGCACTGCCAATTACAACATTGTTGCGTTTTACGATTCTGCCAGTAGTTTTAGCGATAATCAGTAGCACATAACGACACAATGTTATGACATAGACATATTCGTTTTTTGATTCACAAATTCATGTGATTAAAAACTGCCGCCCTTTAACCGTAGTACCGGGGCGTTGATAAATACTATACCAGATTTATAAAGTTAAAGAACTATTTGTTAAAAGTTCGATAAATAAATAACTCAAACTTAAAGTAGACTGGTATTTACGATCATCATTGAAACAGTGTCGTTAGAAGAATAGTAAAAATTCCCTCTGGCTACATACGGCTTTGAAGGTACTTTCATTTAATCAAAATAAAATCGCAGTGTCCGACGGCTAGTTTTAAATAAATTGTTTTTCAATTCTAAGCTCAGGCAATCGTTTTTCGTACGTTTTATGTTTTCATTTACGATTTCGTGTCGTAGGTAATCCTATTTTGATGAATAATTAAAAAAAAAACTAAAACTGCGATTTTAAATTCGTTTTTAGAAAACAAATCTCAAATGTTTTTTTTATTTAATCTGTCAAATTATCAATAAAATGTTTAATTAAATACAAAAAAGCTAATCGATTGTACAATATACGAGATGCCAGTTATTCGTTTATCCATTTTTGGACAAATATTCTAACCTAAATCGTCTTTACAGATGGAATACTTCAACGGTGCTTCGGTGAACCAATCGCACGGCAGTCACCATGGTCACAACCTGACTGCCAATGGCAACCAGCTGTACAACCAAGTATCCTTCGGCAACCCATCCCCTCCAGGGGCCTGGGCATCACACCACAACATCCTGTCTTCAGGCCCAGAATCGCCAGAGAACCAATCCCAAAACTCGCCACATTTGAGCATGCTACAAGCCTCGCAAATAACGAACTTTTCAAATTCGGGGAACAGTTATTTCGCGCCAGAAAAGTACGGTATCAATATGGTTTAGTACATCTAGTCCTTTATTTTGTAGTTGTACATATGTCTGTATAGTGGGTGTGCGAGGACGATTCAAAAGGAGTTTGTATGTTTTTGGAACTCTATGCTTTTTTGACACCTGTCAGTTGCGTTTAGTTATCGAAAGTTACTAAGATTCGATGCTCGCTACAACTTTTCTCTCGTATTTTTCTCTATTTTCATTTTTTATTTGTACTTAAGTGTTCTTTATTTGCTTTAACTTTAATAAAATATGAAAGTTTATAAAAATACGATGTAAGTACATATCATTCGACGTGCTGTTATACAAAACATACAAATTCATTTTCATTCGTCCGTATTTACTTCAAGTGTAGGAAAGCGTTATTATATATTGTAAATGGTTACTTTTAACAAGACTTGTTATCATATTAAGATACTAAAAGTTATTTATTATCATAAATTACTACAATATGACTTCAAGTCCTGTTTAAACTAAAATTTACAAAAGACACTTAATTCATTTTACATCAAACGCTACTATGAAACGATTTTCAACGAAATCTTTGTCGAGAGGCCTAATTTTTTAAACGAAGGAAGTACTATTGTATAGTTAATCTATTATTATTTCTTAAAACTAAACGTCGAAAAGAACAAAGGATAATTTCCAAAAATATTTAGGGCATTCAAAATGTGGAAGAAATATGTATCTTGAAATTGTATAAAGATTTTTTTTTTATTTGCTTCCCCGCGCCCATCTAAAAACACCTGAAATCATATCAGATTATTATATTTAAAAAAGGAGTTACTTAGGATAAAATTTAGTGAGGGAATTCGCTAAATTAACGAAATAATTAAACGTTACTTGTATTAAGACGAAAAAGGGCAAACATCAACGATTTTCATCACACGTTTAAAGTCAACAAACTTCTATGTTTGAATTCACCAATTTAAATAAAAAAGAATATTGATATGAAGCGTCAAAATAAATTTTATTATTTTAAATATCGAAGTACTCTAATTTCCCAAATATGCTTTAATAGATTTTCAACCGTGATTACTTCGTTGTGAAGTTGAAAATCTTTTAACATTTTTGGGATAGCTTGATGTGCTTTTGCCTGTACATACGGTTTTTCTTCAAAACTAATGATGTGTTTGAACCTAAGCTTTAATATAAGTAACGTTACATAGTTCTATTGTACATAAAGTATATGTTAAGAATTTTATTTTGTATATGTGTGTGCTACGAATGTATATGTGGGTTATTATTGTCTAGTTCTAAGCGATTGTATTTTTTTTTTGTAATTTTTAGACCAGTGACAACCCTGCCATAACTTGTACGAAATAATTTTAAATTCGTAAAACAATGAAATTTTAGGGTAATTTTGTAGCCATCTTCGTTTCAAGAATTAAAATATTATTCAACCGTAAATTTTATTTCATGAAATTTTAACTTATTTAACGTATTTTTGTTTCATTTTTTATTAATTGACATTTAAATTGTATGTTTAAAAAAGAGACCTGTTCGAAGGTGGCTACTAAACGTAATTGGCGCCCATGACAGTTGCACATTGCTGCCAAAATGGCGGATTAAAAGAAAATAAAAATCTCTTCGACTCGTAATCGGGTTCTTGAGTCCGATAATATCAGATCAGAGTACTATAATGAGATTATTAGTTAATTTATATTGTGTTATGATTAAAACGGGAATATTTTGAGCGGGGAATATGGGCCTAATGTCTTCATTAGTTATTGAACCGCAATTGGGGGTTACTTGAACATCGGTATTGCTTTTATTTGTAAATACTTTCACCAACTTGTGTAAAGATTTACTTTCCTTTTTGATGTTAAGGTAAATTTCGTAAAGGGGCATAAAGAACTATAGTCCTAAGATATCTGAAGGCATCAATTTGTTACCTAAACAAAATGGCGAGTAGATCATAGAGTATTTTAAATATTATTTTATATTTTTTAAACGCCAGAATAAATACTTTATTTAATTATTTTTTTCTTTCAAGAATAGTATAATTTTATTATATTTTTATAACGATCGATGTTTGAGGGATACCAGTGTCGAAAACAAATTTCCCAATTTCGTAGTTTTTAATGTAATGAAATTGTAATTTATAGTAAATATTAAGCTTGGAAATAGCTAAATAGTTAAGTACATTACTTGTACGGTTCTATCAAGAGTCAGTGTATTTTTTTTAAGTTAAGTTGTATTAATTACTGATAGCTATTGAAATATTGAATCCGAATATATGCATATAAAATACATTTTCGTGTTTCATTTTGTGTTTTACCTGATGATATTATAAAGCTTAATTGTAAATAGTTACTAAAAAAATTAAAAGGACCTACAATAGTTTATTCCCTACTAAAAATACGGTACAACGTGATTTATCATGAAATACCGGCCGGCATAACATTTTTTTGTCAAAGTGAGACCTTTTCTACGTAAATTAGAAAATTTGGTTGACTTTAAACTAGTCTAGATTTTCTACAGATGTGTTAAATAAAATAGACAGATCCGTTGGTGCCATAAAAGCCAAAGCCAACTTAGGGAGGACATTAATTTAACGGGGATCAAACAGCAGCGGTCTCTGAAAAACTTGAACCATTTATGATGAAGCCATAAATTAATGTACACAGGGCCGTCTTAGACTACGCTGAGGCCCCTGGGCCCTGGGCCACACAACAATTCGGGGCCCTTTCGTAATCATTCTTTTTTTAACGTTGCCTCACACTATGATTTTCTCCCGCGGCGTCGTGGATGCATCCTTACTAATATTATAAATCGGAAAGTGAGTTTGTTTGTTTGTTCCGCTTTCACGCCGTAACTACTAAACCGATTGCATTGAATTTTTGCAGACGTAAAGTTAGTAGTCTGGATTAAATAATAGGGTACTTTTTATCCCGAAAAAAATAGATATTCCCGAGGGAAAACAAAAGTATTGGTATAGATGGCGCTGTATGTATTGGTATATGTGACATAGGCTACTTTTTAGCCTTTTGTGACGCGAGCGAAGCCGCGGGTAAAAGCTAGTTTATAAATAAACAAGTTCACATACATATGACACCCAAACCCGAAACAATAATTTGTGGATCACACAAAGAAGCTCCGAAATTGCGAAGCAGCCGGTTACCGCGGAACATGTAGCGGGTGTGTGTCCGTCGTACAAATTGCCGGTCCTTCGGGGCCCCTGAGTATGGGGGCCCTGGGCACGGGCCCCGAGTGCCCTTATGGTAAAGACGGTACTGAATGTATCCCTCTCATGTAAAACATGCCCATAGGTCAGCGTGTTGCATGACAATATTATTATTATTGTTGACTTCTTTGCCTTACGACATTGTAGTATTAGGATACTTTATACAACTTTTTAATAGTAGGTACCTAATCTTAAAGACACTAATAAACTTTAACTAACTACACACAACTTCTTAAAACCAACCTAAGTAGTTTTTTTTTAAGGGGGGAAAATCATCGAATGACTGCTCCCGCCTGGGTGAGGCGGGAAGGAGTGTCAGACTCTTACTGACTAAAAACCACCCCGTTCCTTCTCCTGCACGTCGAGCCGGAGCCCCGGTTACCCGTTAGGTTCTCCGCGACTTTGTATGTACTAAGACGGTTGTTGTAAATGTAAAAGAAAAAAGTCATTTTTCCAAAATCTGGGACGTTTTTTTTATCCCCCTACCTCGCAAAAGTCTGAATGGCCGAGTTTAAAACTGATTTTGGGTTCTTCCAATTTCAAAATTATCATGATGAGGTGAGAAATATAAACAGAAGTCAAGCATGCTTCTCCGGCCACCGTAAGCACGGGCCTGCGGACGGCGAGCACGGGTGACTCGTTCCGCTGCGCGCCTCAAGGAGCCATCGAACGACCACAGATAATAGGGCCTAATAGGGCTGATACCGATACGGAGCCGCAGAGGCCTTAACGGGTTGCCGGGGCTCCGACTCGACGTGCAGGAGAAGGAACGGGGTGGTTTTTAGTCAGTAACAGTCTGACACTCCCTCCCGCCTCACCCAGGCGGGAGTAGTCATTCGATGATTTTCCCCCCTTAAAACTTATATAGTAGTCTACAGTAGCAGGCAAATGGGTGCCTTGTAATTAAGAAATGTCGTAGTAAACACAGCATTTTTAATTATCAACACATAAAATCGCGTATAAAATGTAATTTTGAATAATCCTATTAATTACTAAGGTTGTTGCGGAGAACCTAACGGGTTACCGGGGGTCCGGCTCGACGTGCAGGAGAAGGAACGGGGTAGTTTTTAGTCAGTAAGAGTCTGACACTCCCTCCCGCCTCAGCTAGGCGGGAGCAGTCATTCGATGATTTTCCCCCTTAAAAAAAGTGTAATAAACACTTCAAACCGCATCAAAATCGGTTCATCAATCGTGAGATTATCGCAAATTCGCAACAAACATACATAAATACCTACGTACGTACAGGTCGAACTAAGAACCTCCTTCTGAAGTCGGTTCAATATCACAGCTTATTCTAAAATATATTCATAAAAAACGAATTAGGTACAAAATGAATCTAATAAAATTATTCAGAGCCTTGTTCAAACGCAGTGGCGACTCGCTACTGGTGGCAAGTAACTCGAGCCGAGTTCGACGACTGAAGCCCTCGGCTCGGACGTCCTACAAGCTACTGCCGAGGACTCACGTGACCTGGCCACAACACCAGGCCTATACGACTCGTCTATTATAGGGTAGATGACTAATTTTTATTTCCATGGCTGTTTGGTAGATTGTTTTTATTTATTTATTTATTTATCTGTTTATTTATTAATTGCACACACACATATTACAATTGTCATTACAGACAAAACATTAAACACAAAACATTATTGTTTTAAAACATTAGACACGTATTTTTAATTTTCTCGCAGAAACAAATACTTTTAACGATACATTGCTTTGAAATGTCGCGTGACGTCACTTCTAGGGACGTTTTATGCGTAGAAATGACGTTTTACCTCCCATTCGTAAACTTTCATTCGTTTTATTTAAGTATTATCTATCT